TCATTCAAATAACCAAATCTGAGCAGTAAGCTAGTATCAAATTTATTCTCAAATACACAAAAAAAGGTGGCAACATGAAATCAAAGTGACACGGCCAATGTGTTTCTGAAATGTTGACTCTTCATTTAGCACCTTTATAGTTGGGTTATACTTGATTTGTATAGTCACTCGTACAAAAACAAMAAACAAAACAAAACGGGTGAATAAAGTGAGTCTGTAACATAAAACAAGCAGAGAAGCTGGAACATTTGGATCACAGTAAAGCTATACACTGCATGTCATCAATAAGTACCATCAAACCTCTGCAGTCACATTCAGGAAATCATGGTACCCTTTCACAATAAGAGTCGTTAAGAGGACCACACCTAGGCAATGACACTGGAACCCAAGTTCCCTGACAGTTTGGACCTATTATCGTTTTCACATTCGAGTTTGCTCTTTACATGGGAGTGGTATGTTTATGTACAGAGAAGTTCATTGTCAAACAATGTGGAACAGCGTCATGTTTTTGTACCTGGAGTGTTAAAATCGTCTCTTAAAAAACAAACAAACAAAGGCACTCACTGCACTCATGGATCTGACCGAACTGTTCATGCAGGGTTGAATCCTTTCAGAGCTCAGTGTTTCTGTCGCCCCCTGGTGGTAATCTGTATGAKTCACAGGCCAGCAGTCTGGGATAAAAACATACTGAGAAGCAAGAACTAACATCTAATATCCTAATATGCWCTTTGAAGAAAAACGAAACAGGAATGAGTCATTTGGAACCAACAAAAGAGCTCTGAGGTGGATTTGTTTAAGATGAGAYGGTTTTTAGACACGTTTTGTCAGATTATATTTAATTTTACTTGTTGAACTTTGCCATTTTAAACCCTGTTTTCACCTAATTTCCAACACGTTGTCCTGAATCCGATAAACACTCGAGAGCGGGTCCTCGCGCAAACAAACAGGAAGTGAAACTACATGACGTCCACGAAGAACTCGCTGGGGTTTCCCATGGCCAGGTGGAACGACTGGCGGGACGCGGTCAGCTCCGGGGGGACCGAGCCCAGGTCGCGTGTCGGTGGGGCGCCGGGAGGTCCGCCCGGAGTGGAGGAGGGGGGCGGGGGCAGGGCCTGGTGCATCGGCGCCGCCGGGAGCTGCTGCAGGGCGTGGGCGGTGGCCATGGCCGGGTGCTGGGGTACCATCATCACCATCATGGGGTTGTAGGGCAGGATGCCCGGCGGGTAGGGGGACATGTGCGGGGGCTGCGGCAGGCGGTGATGGTGCGAGCGCTGCGAGGAGGCGTGGCTGTGCTCGCTGGGGGCCGAAGAGCCGTGGCCCCGCCTCAGGCTGCTGCGGGTGGAGTACTCCGATTCGCTTCCACTGCCGGAGCGGGAGTCGGCCCCGCCGCCGTCGCCTCCTCCGCCTGAGGGGGACTTCTCTCCTCCGCCCACGGTGCTGCCGGGACCTTTGTTGCCRCGACGGCGCTCGCCTTCGCTTCTCGTTGAGCCGCTGCTTCGACTCCCTGAGGAYACAAAAACAAAAGTGGAGGTAGAGTCCAAACATGAAATGTTGAGTCAAATTTGTAAAAACAAGACATGAGTGCATTCTGTCTATTAAGATCGTAAGAAATAACAGATGGTGTGAAATGTAACTTTAAGCTCATCTGGGATTTTGTGAAAACAGACAATGAGAATTTCTTGACATCACCTGAAAGAGAAAACCTCAAACCATATTTTTTATGTCAGGATTTTAGAGTTGGTACTGAAAAAGGGCACAGCTAACCAAAAGGTTGGCTTCACTAAACCACTAAACTGATAAACAAAAATCTTAGCTCTGCTAACACTACGCTGCTAAACAGACCAAAAAAATAATGAAAGCTAGGAATGCGCAATATAAATGATATACGGTAGAAACGATATAAATGTGTCCTATGATAGAGATCTGTAATCTACCGGCCAACCGTGCAATTCTTTTTGATGATGTAACCAGCTGGAGTCAAAACAGAGGAAGCGAGAAGCAGCGTGGCTGAGAGCGCAAATGAAGGGGGGGGGCAAACAAGGTGAAAATGAACGCCGAACTGTTTACATGTTTACGTG